GATCGCCGAGTCGAGAAGCCCAACGACGGTCACGTCTACATAAGCTGAGACTGCCAAGCTGAGATCCCGAGGGTACAAGGTAAGTTGTAGGGTGCGTCTACGAGTCTCGAAAACGACGATATTGGTGGAGTCCGAGTAAGTGGATGTTGTGCGAAAGGTACCCAGCGTCGGTTCGCATGAGAGCTTGAGAACCTGCTGAAGGCCAGCTGACGAAGATCCAGTGGATGTTGTGCGAGAGGTGCCCAGCGTCGGTTCGCATGAGAGATTGAGAACCTGCTGAGGGCCAGCCGACGAGAATCCGAGGGAGTTGCGAAAGGTGCCCGGAGTCGGTCCACACGAGAGTGAGGACCTGCCGAGGCCCAGCCGACGAAATCCCGATCGACTTCAGGGTGGAGCGTGGAGTGTTGACTGCAGCAGCGCTGCTTAGCCCTCCAGTAAGGTTTTCTGCTCAATATCCGCCAAGTTGTGAGAGACTCGTAGCGAGCCTAGTACGCGACCGGTGCCCGAAAGACTCGGCAAGGCAGAGGACGCACGACAGGCGTGCCGCCGTAGGAGTCGACGTGGGAACCACTACCGGCGTCAGCGATCGGAGCCCGAACCACGAATACGTTATTGTAAAGCCACAAGCAATAAACCCAACACATATTCTAAATCTAACCTAACTCTGCGTTCTTCTTTGGTCTCGGGGTCACGCAACAATAAATTTGGTGGGACGAACACACAAACTCAACTGAGCTAGCCGCACGTTTACGTAGCGAGCGGAGACATAAAAAAAGCAGTTCGTTACACTTCTACGTAGTCGATTTTTTTGGTCGACCACGCTTGGGACGTTGGCAAGAATTTTGTGTCATTTCGTTCTCGTCTGCCTCTTTTGAAACCCGTTTTAAAATTTTCTTTTCTGCTCGCGCAGCCGCAGCCGTCATTTGATGCTGAAAGACATTCATTCTCGATTAAAACGAGTTTTTCCGTTATCAAATTGTGTGACGTTCTTACCCCACGCGCCAATTTTTTGTCGAGGTTACTTAGTTTATACATTTTTGGAAATATTGGCTAGCTTGATACATGTACATCAGTATCAAGGTTCGTACTATAAGCGGACACTTACCTCTTTTTTTTCAAGCCGTTCATTTACACTTCATTGAGCAATGTTAATAACAAACATTTTTTACTGCCGTCGAGTGAAACAATAATGACGCAATAGAAATTGTCACGACAAAGCTGCAGTATTCCGACCGACTGCAAAAACCGCGCATTATCGATCAGAATCTATATTATCAACGGTTACTCGTTTCGGCGCTTCATTTGAATTTGAAATCCAAATGGCGGTTTACCCACCGGCGGTTTACCCCATCTTACCCTACGATGTACGCAACCCCATTTTTTAACTGGTTAGTAATGGTATGTATTCCAATTTTTTCAAAAGCTTTCTCGAAATCAGGTGATCACTTCTACTTATCAAAATAAGAATATAAGTTTGTGGATTTGTTAATATCAACAGGCAATCAGCTTTTACGCATACTCAAATGTCCCAATTTTTTTCTGGTTTATGATTGAGGTTGCTTGTGCGTTTTTGACACAGTGGATTGCTGTTGATTTGTGAATCCCGGAAAATTGTTTAATTTTTGTTCCATATATAGTCTGATTTGGTGTTTGGAGAGATATTGGATGTCATGTTTTGTAAGCTGGTTTTTTTACTAACTCTAATTTCCCTTCTTTACTTCGCGTTGGTTTTTTTGTATTTGACGAGGTTTTCATTGTTCATATTTCTTTTTAAAATTTGTCCATGCTCTGTTTTTTGCTTTCTTAATATTGTCTAAATTTTTATTCCACCATGGGACGTTGTAGTGCTGTTTTGGTGGTTGCGTTTGGGGAATACTATGAAATGCACTATTAAGGATGATTTTTTTTTATGTTGCAAGCTTCTTGATTGGTGTTTGTGGCTATAGGTGTTAGGTTGCAATTGTAGTCTGTAAGTTTTTTATAATTTTTCCAATCAGCTAGCTTGGTGATGAATCTCGGTGAATATTTGCAAAGTTTTTTGTCGTAATTAAACATTTTAATCAGGATGGGGAAATGGTCACTTCCCTGGAGATTATCACAAACATTGAAATCGCAGTGGATTCTAATTTCAGGTGAGCAGAAGGATAAATCTACATGGGTGAAGGAGTTGTGGGTAGAGAAATGGGTAGGTTTGCCATTGTTCAAGATTATAAAATTAATGTTGGCTAAGTACCTCCCTAGCGTGTTCCCTCTGTGGTTGTCTTTGGGCGATCCCCAAAGACCATTCCAACTATTAAAGTCCCCAGTTATTAGGGCCGGGCTGGTAAAGTTGGAAAACATAATTTCCAAATATGATTGTGTGAACTTATGGGTAGGGGAAATATATGCTGAGACAATTGAGAACTTTTGTATCGAATCAATTTCAATGGCAATGGCGTCATAAAGTTGCCCAATACAGATTTTTTTTGTGCTGTAAAGATTTATGTATCAGGAGAGCAACCCCCCTTTGCTGATGATAGAGGTAGTACTATACATTAGGAAGTTTACTGGGATGCGAAAGGAATTTTTCGTTGTTAAATAGTCTCTTAAAATGAGATGATTTGGGTGTTGTATTTTTTAATTAGTATAAGGAGTTCGTTGTAATTGTTGCAGTAGCCGTTCAAATTCTATTGAAGTATCGAGATAGACATATTTTATGATAGTAAATGTATACAAATATATACATATACAAATATATTTAAATTAGGTTTAGGGTATGGTTTTCTTGGATTTAGTTAATTAGGGTTGACAGTATTATTCGCAATACTTTTTATTTTAGACCTTGTTAACATGTAGTCTTGTTTGACTAATCTTTTTTCCCTTTTAGACATTTTAGTAGGATAAATTTTAGTACTGGATTTGGATTTGTCGTTTTAAATGGTTGCTTCTGAGGTGTCAGAGCCTGAGGTCATCGCATCGTTTTGTATTGTATTAGTTGTCTGTTGCTTGGGGATGGTTGCTCAGATGTGTTTAGGTGTTTGCCCTTCGTATTCCAGGGTTCAGTCGCAGACGATGTTTTGGTTGGGGTTGTTGGCGGTTTCAAAGAGTTTTGTTGTGGCTGTTCATCATTGGGACCTGCCACCGTCGAGTAGAGGGATCCGTCGTGTTGGTGTCTTGCTTTATATTGTATATAGCCCAGGCTGCGCGGTTGTCTGGGCTGGCTGGCTGCATTTCAGGCATAGTTCTGGGTTTTTGCAGAACTTGGGGAACGTAGATTCGAACAGTGACTCTTTCGTATCCAACATAAATATTATCGGGTCGGTTCAATAATGAGAAGGTGATGATGAAAAGGCCTGTTCCAGTTGATTGACGGTTTATGAATCTAGTAATTTGCTTTACTTCGACCACTTTTTGGGACTTCAGGTTATCCAATATTTCTTCATCCAATTAAATCAGGGCAAAAAATCACTCCTTTGCAGGTGTTTAGTGATCGGTGTTCAGAGAATGTAACGGGAATGCCGCCAATCATCTCTTTGAGTTTCATTAGCCCTTCAGCTTGTATGTTGTTTTTAGTTTTAACTAAGATGTTTCCGTCTCTTAGTTTTTTACAAGATTCCACTTTATTACCTACTGTAAGATCAATTCTTTTTTTAATCGTAAATGGTGACACTTTCGCTAGTGAGTCACCACTGCTTAGGTCGGATCGGGTGATTACTAGGTACTTCCCGTCAGGTGCGGGGGGTCTTCTCCAGGGTGGGTCAAGCATTGCTGCGTTAGAAATTAGACACGTGACGGTTTGTTGGTCGATGAGAGCACTTGACACTTATCTTATTACTGGTAAGAGTTCTATTGTTAGACTCGAATGGGTTTGTTTTTGAAGAAGGTTTTGGGTTTGAGAGAGCACAAGAATCGCACAACCGTTTGCTTTGACTGCCAAAATTGAACTGTTTGTAGAATAAATATTTAGTTTGTATGGTAGATAATACGAATCTTTTCCAATCGCACACAAACGCCAGATATCACACGCTGCCACGTCATGGGCTACGACTAACCATTCGCAGCGATTCAATGATCATCCATTCAGGCTCGCCACCGCAACGAAACGCTCTTAGACTCCACTCCTTTTTAAGCCTGTCCTTTTTTCGCTAAACGAAAAAAGCCTACAGCATATAACGGAGTCGCAATTGCTTACAACCAAATGCCAGCTGCATCAGCGTTAAACTGCTTCGCGTTCTGCGTATTGATAAATATAGATATTTATCCGGCGACGAAGCAGAGCCTCGATAGTGGTGACTCAAATCCTTGCTAACATGGATATGGCCGAGAATGTCCATGTTTTAATAAGGAGAGTAGTTAACAATGCAACGAAGATCTGAGATAAGAGCACGACGACAGACGGCGCATGAAGTCTTACGACGGGCAGTGATCTGTGCGAGTTAAGGTTACGATTAAGCTCTCCTTCTCTTATGTTAATCTGTTCTGAGCTGACAGCCGAAGAATAAAGGCACCTCTTCCAAATCATGTGTGTTATTTTTTCTAATCACCGTTGAAGTAATAGCTGGAGCCACGACCCGGCTACCAGCTTACAAGAAGAGGATCAGCAGCATCATCGTCACTGATCGTGGCCACCACCTGGTCTCGATCGGCGCTCTGCATCATTATACAAGTGCAGAGGCATCTACCAAGTGACCGGCCGTTGTGGGCAGACACGCTGCCACAATATATAATATAATAACCTTATCTTGTGTACTCTTGATTTTTCTGTGTGTTGCGTGCCTGGAAAACTTAATTTCCTGTCTGCAAGCCGATATACTCGTATTCTATAGCGTCTGGTCCTTTGAATGTCGATATCTTGCCAAATACAAGAGATAATTTTGAGGTTGAAAATTCTGGTTTTATTGATGATTAAGCAGCAAAAAAGGTGTACAAAAGTTACAAGCCTATTTTATTTTTTATTTGATAGTCGAGGCACTCGACTGAAGCCATTTCATATATTTTATAACACATGTGTTATTTTTCAGGGTGATGGGGAATATGACAAGGAACAATTGAGAAGTTTGTATACACTCAGTCTATGGCTCTCACTTACAAAGTTATGCTTTTTAGTTCTTCGAAATGCTTTCAAAGCATTCGACCATGATGGAGCAGGATGGATCGAACACGCCGATGTATCTAGCATTCTTGAAATCTTAGGTCAAAAATTGGAACCGCCAGCTGTAAAGGCTCTCATTAAGGAGGTAGATAAGGGCACTTCAGGAAAATTGGATTTTAGTCAGTTTTGTAAGCTGGCCGCTCGCTTCATTGAAGTTGAAGAAGATGTAGGAGCACTCCAAAATGAGTTGAAAGAAGCTTTTCGAGTATACGATAAAGAAGGAAAAGGTTATTTAACCGTTGCCACGTTGCGAGGAATACTTCATGAACTGGATGATAAACTGTCGAACCAGGACTTAGATATGATAATAGAAGAAATCGATGCGGATGGTTCCGGTACTGTTGATTTTGACGGTATGTACACATATTGAAGCTATCATCAATAAAATAATGTTACATCTTTCACAGAATTTATGCAGGTTATGACAGGTAATTTATAAATCTTAAATAGTTTGTGTGTAGTAAATACTCAGATTTATATATGCTGAAAATTAAATAATCGATTAAGGGTTGTACATTTTTTTCAAGAACTTTTCCGTGCCTTAAAAATTAAAAATTTGGAACAATTTTTTTTTTGTCTTGAGTCTATATAAGTTAATTCTGTTTCCAATGCCGTAAAAAATTTGCATCCGTTAACTTTGAATATATATGCATCTATATTAGCACCTTAGTGTTCAAATTGTATAAAATGTTCACAAATAAGAAAATAAAAAGGAACCCGAAGCTTGTTTGCCCTAGCAGTAATCAATTATGTCTAACCAAATACACAAAGGCTAAACAACATCGAAGATTTTTAAAACAGCAACAATCATACTTGTGATGTTATAATTTGATGTTTGTAAATTCTATATAGATTTTTTGATCTTTCTTATGACAGCTTTATGATGTAGTTATCCGATTTTTATGAAATTTTTTTTAATAATTCAAGGGAAATTAAGTAACTAGAAATTCTAAAAATCATGTCAATATTATTGGGTTGGCAAGAAAGTCATGTCGTTTTTTTTCAATATTTTCAAAGATGATTTATTTATATCAGGACTTATAATTAATCAATTATGTATTGGCCGTTTTGTTCGACCACTAATGACCATCATTCGGGCAGCTGCATAATTCCGCGCTCGAAGAACTTTTGATCTTTTCCAGCAAAGAATCAAGACAAGTGGTTTTCGACAGCCTCATCTGAATCAAAGTTTTTACCATTCAAAAAGTTTTGAAGAGAGCGAAACAAATGGTAATCTGAAGGTGCTAAGTCCGGACTATAAGGTGGATGTAAAAGCACTTCCCAATTCAGCTCCGTTAATTTTTGCCGAGTGACCAAAGATGTGTGGGGCCTAGCGTTGTCATGGTGAAAGACTATACCCTTGCGATTAGCTAGTGCCGGCTCCTTTTCTTTAATTTTTTCCGCCAAATTGGATAGCTGGCGACAGTACACATCTGAATTGATGGTTTCATTCCGTCCCAGCAGCTCAAAGTGCACTACACCCTTCCAATTCCACCAAACAGACAGCATAACTTTCCTCTGATGGATATCGGCCTTTGGGCTGGCTCATCTTTCTTGCTCCATGATCTTTTTCGTTGGACATTATTATAAACAACCCACTTTTCGTCGCCAGTAATGATCCGCTTCAAAAAAGGATCGTTTTTAATCCGTTGCAGCAGAGAATAGTAATCCATGTTTAATTTGCTATAGCTTCCACAAATGTTATCGAATAATTACCAAATTTTCGTCGATAGTACCTAAGACAATAAGCTTTAAAACGATACTAAAAAGTGTGACCCTGGTGCTCGATTAGTCGTAAATAAATTAGATTAAAAACGATTACTAAAAAAAACGACATTACTTTCTTGCCAACCCAATATATCATATACATAGCTGCCTTAGGAAAGATAAAAAAATCTATATAGAATGAACGGAAATTAACGAAAAAAATTATAGCATCGTTGTTCATCATCGGAATATACAGCTTTCTAATTACTCTTGAACTTCGAATTAAAGACTGTATTATCTCGCTGCCATATAAACAATCATCGAAAATATAGAAACTTAATAGAAAAATCGACAAAGCTTCGATGTTGTTTAGCCTTTATGCATTTTGTTCAACATACATATTTGATGACTGTAAGGGTATATAAGCATTGGCTTGCCGAAGCTAGCTTCCTTTCTTGTTTCATCTGTTCCTATTTTTTGCTTTTATTTTAATTTTTCGTGTTTTCTGCTGCAAGTTATATGTACGAGTCCAATTTCATTAAAAACATAATATTCAGCTGCTATGCTTGTGTGATAAGAAAGTTATGAAGTTTTAATTCAATCTATAATAAGACTGTAACATTATGTTTTTGCTTTTAAAATCCTACACAAACTTGTCTCGCAGTTTTAAAGATGAAACCTTACAAAAAGCTCTTTGTTATAACAGTTTAATATTTTTTGTTTTAACTGCAAGGATATATGTTAAACGATCCCTTTTTTTTTTTTTTTTTGTATATAAAATAGGGCTCTTGACCCATTATTTTATGTGGATAACGTAATTTGAAATTATCTACAGGGTGCGCCATCTCGAGCTTCGGTATGAAAATATTAAATAACTTTGGAAAAAAACAAAAATTCATGGAAAATGTTTTACATTTATTTAGATTGATCCTTTACAATTCATTTGAGTTAGTTTTTGAACACAATATCGACTAAGTGACTTCCTTTGTTCTTGATGGCAAAAAGTGTCCTTTTTCGAGCATTTTCCATTACTTTCTTGAGCAATCGGCCGATATATTGGCCATTTCGGTGCGAATACTCTCCTTGAGCTCTGTGATGGTCTAGGGCTTGCTTATGTATACCCCACAAAAAGAAATCCGGCGGGGTCAAGTCCGGCCAATCGATATCGCCTCTTTTTGACACAACGCATCCAGGAATTTTGCTGCAAAAACAGCATGGTTTCGTTTGCTGTGTGACATGGGGCCCCGTCCTGCTGTAACCAGAAATTTTCTAGACCCTTCAAAAACTAACTCAAATGAATTGTAAAGGATCAATCTAAATAAACATAAAACATTTTCCATGAATTTTTGTTTTTTTCCAAAGTTATTCAATATTTTCATACCGAAGCTCGAGATGGCGCACCCTGTATATACCTAAATAAATAAAACATTTATTTTTAATGAAGAACTTTTTTATATTTTAGGTTAACCTTTAACAGTGTATAATCAAAGGCGGCCAATGGACCTTATATTTAGTGTGGCTTTTTGTTATATAATTTATTAAATTACATTGTATTTTTGCTTTATTTAATTATTTAACTATACGGTGCTTTCTAAAAAACTTAAACAGCTCTTTATTTTAAATAAATTCTGTGAGAGTCAAGGATTCTACGCTTGGTAAGTAAAAATTCCGATTTTCGCATTTGTTTCACAAATTTTGTATTAGAAAAAACAATTAGAACATTATAAAAAATAATTGATGACGATTGGTTTATCCCAACGCCTTCAATCACTTCCAAAAGGTTTGGGTTTGCTCCATGTAAAGGCCTGTTAATCTTGTATTTTTTCAAATTTTGATCTGAAATTTTTTGAGCACGTTTTTGGAATTTACTTGTATATCTATACGATAAACAAAAAAAAATCGATTTTTTTTCCCTACAAGGTTAGAGCCTGCCTTAATTTTTCCCGTCACAGACTTTAAGTTGATGTGAAAAGTTATTTTTACCATTAAAGAAAACTTGTCAATGACAAGTGAACTGTAGCACTGTACTATAAACACTTCTAAAATAGCCGAGTTTTATTTCGCGAAAAGATGCTCAGGGTACGCGTGGGTACTAGTGCTCATGTTGCGAATTTCGCCCTGGAAAACGCTGGAAAAGAAGCTTGTAAGGAAAACGACCGTGTTGTTCGGAGTACAAAATCAAGGTGATTCTTTAATACAAGGTAATTAGCATGGTACAATTATACAAGGTAGTCTCGTCCATGGTACAATTATACAAGGTAGTCTCGTCGGCTGCCTAATCGTTCGGCTTTTTACAGTGTTGCCAGATTAGGAGGTTTCCTCCTAAATTTAGGAGGTTTTCAAGCTTGTCGGAGGATTTTTAAGAGGAGAAAATGTCTAGGATGAAATTTAGGAGGAAATGTCTAGGATGAAATTTAGGAGGAAATAATAATATTTTCATTAAAAAAAACGGTAAAAAAGACTTTGAGGAGATTGAACAGGTCCCTGCCAACATGCATGAGAGAGTTATGCATTTTTCTCAAGTTGGCGCCACAGTTCTTACTACAGTGGGCTTGCCAACTTTTTCAAAAGAAATGCAGCGCTGTAGCAGACGAACGTTTTTGCAACAACATTTGTTTGGTGAATTTTGACGAGACTTATAGTGTTTACCATGCCGCCTGATCGTGCGAAAGATAAGAAAAACTATAGTCAAAAGTACACAAAAGCGTGGGAGGACGAAGAGGAATTCAAAGGTTTGCTTTTCCAAAATTTTTTCACAACTTTTATTTGTTCACTTGGTTTACTTTCTACGTTCTACTTTTCAATTTTATCAGGATGGTTGTGTCCAGTAGCGGGAGAGCCAACACGGGCGTACTGCTCATACTGCAAAGCCTTTTTACCAGCTCACAAAAAGCGATTAGAAGAACATGCCGAAACAAAGAAACACGTTGCTGCAGTCAAAGCTGCGAATGAGTGCTTAAAAATTCCAAAAATAACATCATTTGTCAAAAATACCATTGATGACAAACAGAAAAGAGCAGAACTCAAAGTGGCAGCTTTTGTTGCCGAACACTGTAGCATCAAAACTGTTGATCACTTAAGTGCCGTTATCACAGATCTCGACAAAAGTTCTGAAATTTTGAGTAAAATCCAAATGCATCGAACGAAATGTACAGGTACCTATGATCATTTTTTGTTTTTACTATTTTATTATACCCTTGCAGAGCAAAGGGTATTATAATTTTGGCCAGAAGTTTGCAACGCAGTGAAGGAGACACCTCAGACCCCATAAAGCAGGGGTGCTCAAATTCGTCTTATGGCAGTGCGTTTACTAACACACCCACAAGAAAACGTGTACATATGTAGCGGCGCGTTTGTGTTGGGGCGCAGCTGTGCACTGAGAGAAAAAAAAAGTTTTAAATATTTACTACGAAGCATATTACGCATTGTACTTCGCATTTAAAGTTTATGCTAAAAAAAACTGCTCTCTAATTCATCACTCATTTTGATCTGCCAAAAAATTTAATATAACACTTACGATGGTCCACTACGAAATAAATCAAAAGCCAACGCAGACAGAAAAATAAGTTCAAGTGCATGTGCTCGAGGAAAAAACAAAAACAAAATACATTGCGTTCAGCGAAGCGTGACGACGGATAGAGATGTAATGAAGAAACAAGCAAAATTGTTTTTGTTTCGCATGCAAATCGAAGCCCATATGCACGGTGCTTATGCGCGCACTACCCATAAGCACAGAGCATCTACAAAAACAAAAGTGCACTCAGTGTATAGGCGTTGAGCACCCCTGCCATAAAGTATATATATTCTTGATCAGCATCAGTATCTGAATCGAAATACGTCTGTACGTCTGTCCGTCTGTCCGTTTCTGCCTAAACTAGTCTCTCAGTTTTAAAGCTTTCTTGCTGAAACTTTCCCAAAAGGTGTGTAGTTATTGCACGCAGTATATAAGTCGAAACGGGCCGGATCGGGCGTCTATATAGGATAGCTCCCATACAAAAGATTGAAATAAAAAATTCTAGCCCCGTTGTTTTTGATCAGATCGACTTGATTTCTTCTAGATGGCGTTTTCTGACCACTATTGAATTTCGGATAAAATTTTAACAAAATCAGATAACTCCACCATATAGCTGCCATACAAAAGATCAAAATATATCTATATAAATAATGAAAAAAAAAATATAACGTCGTTGATTTTAGTCCCACGAGCATGATTTTCAAAACATGGGGTTTTTTAATAACCCTTGATTCGAGGAAAGATCGAAAAATCTATATAGAAATACGGGAAATCAAATTATAACATCGTTGTTTTTCATCAGACAAGCATATTTTTGGAATATAGAGTTTTCTAACTGATTTTAAATTGCATATTAAATTTCATCAAAATCGAAAAACTATATCATATAGCTGCCATACAAACAATAGTCGAAAATATGGAAAATTAAAAGAAAAATCGTCAAAGTTTCAATGTTGTTTAGCCCTTACGCATTTTGATCGGCATATTTGATGACTGCAAGGGTAGATAAGCTTCGGGCTACCGAAGCTAGCTTCCTTTCTTGTTATTTTTCAAAATTTGATTCGAATTTTGTGCTTAAATGCAATTTCATATTCTAGGGCTTATCCTGAATGTCATTTCTCCTTGCCTTCTCGAAGATTTGGTTGATGACGTTGGTAATGGTCATTTTTCACTCATTATTAATGGAAGCACATTAATCGACACCACGAAGGTCCTATGCATCATGATTCGGTACTTTAGTCGGAAATCTAAGAAAATCATCACGACGTTTTATCGTTTAATTCAACTAGAATCAGGAACGGCGGAAGCCATAACAAACAGCATAAAACATCAGCTCAAAGCCGATGGTCTGAAGTTGGAAAGTTTGGTAGGCATAGGCATCGATGGTGAAAACACTATGACGGGGGCTCATAATTCGGTATCTTCTAAATTGAAAGATTCGGTTCCTCATTTAGTTGTTGTGAAATGTGTCTGTCACTCTCTGCACCTTTGTGCAGAAAAAGCGTGTGATGTTTTACCCAAATGTCAGGATTACCTTGTAAAAACTAGTCATACTTGGTTTTCACAGAGTGCCAAGAGAAATACTGAATACAAAAAGCTGTTCGAAGTCATGATCGAAGGTTGTCCGAATAAAATCGCGAAATTATCTGGGACTCGTTGGTTAGCTCGGTTAAGTGCTATAGAAACTATATTGGATCCATGGGAGTGCTTGAAATTACATTTTGAAATGGCTAGAGTAAATGAACGTGGCGAGACAGGATACAAAGCTGAAACTCTTTATCAAATGTATCGGGACGAAAGGAATAAATTGTACTTATTTTTCCTCCGCTATTCTTTGAAAAAAGTAATTGAGGTTAATAAGTTGTTCCAGTCAGAAACCGTAGAACCATTGAAACTCTTGCGAGATTTGAATGAATTGTATTATTCAACATTACAGAATATCGTCGTTCCATCACAATTGTGTAAAGTTAGCAAAAAAGACTTATCCAAATTTGAATTCGAAAATTTTGTGATGGCAACAAACTGTATCAATTTTGGCTACGATTTCAATCAGATTAACAAAAATTTTAATTGTAATGATATTTGTGAAGTGAAAGAAAGGTGCAAAGCTTTTTTCATCAAACTATGCCAAGAAATGAGAGCCAGAATCCCAGATAATATTTCGATTTTAGAAAAAATCTCTGTATTTTCACCGAAGATTGCGTCTAGGTTAAGCAGGATATATCTGAAGTTGCTACACATTTTAAAGCAATTTGTCTCGACGTCAACGAGACAACGAGACAATGGAATCTTTTACATCGCCTTGAAATAAAAAACGTCGAAAATTCAGATTTTTTCTGGGGAGAAGTTCTTGATGATTGCGAGGCTTCTGAAAAACCTAGATTTGAAAACGTTTCGAAATTAGCTGTTGCATTTTTATCACTGCCACTATCTAATGCTGCGGTTGAGCGAGGATTTTCAATTTTGAATATTGTGAAAGACAAATTGCGCAACAAATTGGCTACAAGAACAGCAGATGCGATAGTGCGTATCAGATTTCTGGGCAATTGTACAAAATTTGAACCATCGACAAAGATGATGACTATGTTTAGAAGCGAGTGCGTTTATGCGAGCGATTTCGTAGATGAAATTCTTGATGCTTTCAAATAAAATTGTTTTGAATAAAATTGTTTCGGTGTTTTACTTGGTGTATAAATGTATACCTTTTTACTAGACTAGAATTTATGCGATAATGTCCATCCTTGGCTGTTACATTTCCCCCTATTGCTTAAAGCCAACCATTCGAGCGTATTACAAAAATTTAGCTTTCATTCAAGTAATATGTCTTTCTTTGTCTTTTGCATTAAGTCTAATAGGTTACGCTTAAATTTAAGCGCGTTTTAAAAAACCCGCTATAATTACAACTGACTTATAGCTTTATTCCAAATTTAGGAGGTTTTGTAGATTTTTAGGAGGAAACACATCTCCATCTAGGAGGAAACCTTGTAGGCCAATTGGCAACACTGGCTTTTTAGTCAGTGCTTTCGTGCTTGTTGAAGGATGAGCACGCGTGCGGACGAATTTTTTCAGAGTATTAACCCTTGTGCAAAGA